TTTAAATGCTTAAATTAAAAACCAAAAGCTTTTAAATCAGTGATCTTAGTCTGTACCCTAAGAAGCTAGGAAAAGAAGAATAAATTAGACTCAGAATGAAGGAAACACTAAAGAGCAGAGTTAACATTAAAAAAAAAGGAAAATTAAAATTTAGTTCTTTAAAAACATTAATAAAATTGGTAAAAATTCTAGCAAGATTAATCAAAAAAAGAAATAATACACAAATTATCAGTATCTAAAATGGAAGCATGGACACCATTAATGATCTTTCAGACATTCAAAGGTCATCATGAATGACATTATAATAATAAATTCAACAATATATATGAAAAGAACAAATTCCTTGAAAGTACAATTTCTGAAAATGGGCACAAGATGAAATAGAAAATCTGATAACTCTGTATCTATTTTTTAAAAAAGAAATAGAATTTATTATCAAAAACTTTACCTCAAAGAGCACCCCAGGTCCACAGCATTTTACTTATGAATTCTATCAAACATTTAAGATATAATACTAATCATATAGAAAATCTATAATAACTAAGAAAATGTTGGAAAATCGAATCTAAGTATGTACATAATACCTGGATTATATATACATATATATGTATATATGTGTATATATATGAGGGTACTTCAAAAAGTTCATTGAAAAATAGAATTAAAAGATAATGCAGTCTTTCTGTGAACTTTTTGAAGTACTTTCATTCATATGTATGTATATTAGATAGAACATCTACCTATCCATAGTTTTATAGATATCCTACTTTATCCCCTTATCCACATACAAAATTTGTCTGAGACATAAAGCTTCTAGAAGATAATTATAAAAGAATATCTTTCCAACTGAGATTAGGTAAAAATTTCTGAGGTTACAGAAATACCATAAAAGAAAAAATTGATAAATTATGCTTCATCACAATTAATAACTTAAAAAAAATCTCATCAAAAGGCACATGAGAAAATTAGTAGACAAGATAGACTGGAGAAAAAATATAAAATATTTGTTTAATATATATCAAAGGACTTATGTCCAGAACTTATTTTAAAAACAACAACAAAGGGCCGGCCCGGTGGCGCACTGGAGAGTGCGCCGCTTGGGAGAGCGGCGGCGCTCCAGCCGAGGGTTCGGATCCCATGTAGAGACCGGTTCCCGCTCACTGGCTGAGCGCGGTGCAGGCGCAACACCGAGGGTTGCGATCCCGTTACCGGTCAGTAAAAAAGACAAAAAGGGGAAAAAAAAAAAGAAAAAACAACAAAAAAACTACAACTTGATAATAAAATAACAACTAACCTGATTTAAACATGGGGAAAAAGACTTGAATACTGTTATGGACTGAATTATGTCCCTCCACCTCCATTCTTATGTTGAAGCTCTAATCTGCAGTACCTCAGAATGTGATTATATTTGGAGATAGGGCCTTTAATAGGTAATTAAGTCAAAGTGAGGACATTAGAGTGCGCCCTAATCCAATCTGACTGGTATCCTTATAAAAAAGATTAGTACAGAGAGACACCAGGGATGTGCACAGAGGGACCACCCTGTGAAGAGGCAGCAAGATGGTGGCCATCTGCAAGCCAAGGAGAGAGGCCTCAGAAGAAATCAGACCGGCTGGCATCTTGATCTTGGACTAACAGCTTCCAGAACTGTGAGAAAATACATTTTTGTTATAAGCCACCCAGTCTGTAGTATTGCATTACGGCAGCCCTAGCAAACTAATACAAACACACACACACACACACACACACACACACACACACACACACACACACACACACATTTCACAGAGGAAGATATACAAATATCCAATAAGCATTGGAAAAAATGCTCAACATCATTGACATCAGAGAAATGCAATTTAAAACCACAGTCAGATACACATCCACTAGAATGGCTGCAATTTAAAAGACCAGCAACACAAAATATTGGCAAGGATATGGAGCAATTAGAATACTTATGCATTGGGAGGATAAATGGCACAAATCTTTGGGAAAAGGTTTGGCATTTTCTCATAAAGTTGAACATACACCTATCCTATGACCCATCAATTGTACTTCTAGAAATTTACGCAAGAGACATGAAAATACAGGTCCACAAGAAGGCTTATACAATAATGTTCATAGTGGTTTTATTCATAATAGAACCTAAACCGGAAAAACCAGATGTTAAATAGAGAGGACAAGAATTTAGGATTGCTCATTTCTCAAAGTAGAAGACAAGTGCTTACAGCATTTGAGCTAATTAGCTTTTGTTGATTAATTAGCTAACAATGCAGGCATTTATTAAATTGTCCAGATGTGAATAAAACAATTTCGCAGAAATAGGTGAAGAAATGCCATAAGTGAGAATAATGTTTATATTTAGGATGGAAGGAAGAGGTTGTGATCTGGAAGGGTAGTACAGGGTTTCTTCCAGAGCTGTTCTAGAATTTCTAGATCTGGAGTGGGATAGAGGGCAGTGATTTACAAGTGTTCATCTTATAACATTTGGTAGACTATTAATATATATAATTTTCAGGCATTTTTATATACGTATATTTCACATAAAACATGTTTAATAGATGACTTCTTAGCATATTTTTTCCTTAAGTGGTGGAGGACCCAGAACTTCTAAATTGTGCCCTTCACTTTGGCAGATAAGGAATATTTAAAGATGTGAATTTTTTAAGTGTAATAAATATTTCTCCGCTCAGATATCAAAGCCAAATATGAAATGATGATATTAAATTGTTCTAAAAATCAAGTGTGCAGGAAATAATTTTTTTGTCATTGTTTTAAATATTCTCTTACACCCCATGCTCTTTCTTGTAGTACAGAGGCTGGAAGCATGAGAATTACAATTCTTAGACCCTTATGCCTCTAGAATTCTGGATGTGATTTATGTTCTTCTAATAAGATAAACTCATGCGAGATTAGGAAGGCAAAAGAAAGTAGAAACCAACTGTTATTCTACCAGTGGTGGTGGTGTGAAGTTTTGCAGCAGCTTCTGACAGTGCCTTTGCCATGAAGCTATTTTACAAGAATTGAAGTCATAAATTACATGGTAATATTATAAATCATTAAAACACAAGGGGTGGTACATCTTGGGCCACTTTCTCAATATGCAAACTTAATGAAAAATGCATCCATGAGACACAGTTTTGTAATAAATTAAAGCTCCAGAAATAAGTTGAGAGATGACCTTGATTTAATTCCTGGTGAAATATCTTTAGTTTTTATGATTTCAAATTACTAAAATAAAATGTTGATAACAACAAAAAGGGATTATAATGACAAGTTTTAGAGAGGTGGGTTGTTTTTGTTTTTGTTTTTGTTTTATACTGAGAGACCATAGACATCAGGGAGGCAAGTAAAAATAGTACAGATTTAGACAGTGAGAAAAGTAATAAAAATATCTGAAAGAAACGTTTGCTGTGCCCAATTGTGATGAATTGAAGATCCAAATCTCTCTTTGAAAACTGAACAACTCAAGAAAATAAGCAATCTTTAGAAAATTATATTTCAGAAAGTCAGTGAGCGTGATGTTGGACCAAGACTCCATAATTTGGAATAGAACAGTGTCCTTTCCAATAATCCTACTGCACCTTAAGAAAGTCAGGGGTTAATTCTCTGCTGCTGCTGAACAAGGGAATTTAGATATCAAGAGCCGAGTCTCCTCACCAGAGAGGGATGTGAAAAGTTTACTCTGGAGTTTCACAAGGCCTCAAAATTTAGTCAAAACAGGGAATATAGAGAAGCTATTTAACAAGTTCTATTAAAGACTGTTTTGTTTTGCTTTCCTCACATAAGTTTAATTGTAAACATGTAAATACTACTTTCTTTTGAATTAAAAATATTTTTTTTTGACCAAGACCTTCTTAATAGTTATTAAGCAGCTCGGATTTTTCATTTATCTCCTACTTCATATATATTCTATTTGCAAAATGAGACTTAACAAGATTGGCGTAGACATTTTCAAGTATCTTCTTAAGTTTTATACTCTTGAGAAAAGAACAAATTCTTCATTTTTTAACTAATATATCAGAGAATCGGGGATGAAGAGGATGCTGCAGTGTGGTTCCTGGTGAGCTTATCCCGTTTCTTTCCTGAACGAACCCAGGACAGGACAAATTCAGTAATAACTCACATGAGAAAGACTTCTCAAGGTACTGTACCTAATGTTCATTTTTCAGTCCTCCTCATCAGGAAGACGTAACAATTATGTATGTGCTGAACAGAGCTGGAGAATACTTGAGCAAAACCTGACGGAACTAAATGGGAAATAAACACCCTGTCTCAGTAATTAATAGAACAAGATTTTTAAAGCAGTAAGGATGCAGAACATCTAATGATATCAACCATCTTAACCTAGCAGACATTTATAGAACAATATGTTCACAACTGCAGGGGAGAGAAAAAAAGAAAAATAGAGCGAAAAGCGGGGTAGAGAGTGTTGCAAGAAAGCGAGCGAGCGAGCACGGGTGACCTTTCTGTGTCTGGGTCCTGCTCCAGATTCCGCTGGAGCTTAAGGGGTATTTTTACTGAGTGCCCCATGTACGAGTATAACCACACCCTGCTTGGGTGTATGTATGTATGTATATATATATACTGAGCACCTACTGTGTGCTTGGTACATATACTAGGCGCCTGCTAGTGCCAAGACTTGTTCTAAGCCCTGGTAGGACTCCCTCAGAGACAAACGCAGACGCGAGCTAGCAGATCGCGCCTTCTCCGGCACCAGCTCCTCAGCTCGAAGCCCCTCCCCGGCCAGCCCACCCTCCCGCGCCGAGGGTTGGGGCCGAGGTCCAGGGCCCGCGCTTGCGCACTCCGCGCAGCCCGTTGGGGCGGGGACCCACACCCCCTCTCCCGCCCCTCCCCACCGCCCGAGCGCGGACTACATTTCCCACAGGCCTCTGCGCGGAGTTTCCTTCCGGCCCCCTAGCTGGTGTCGGCTCCGAGAGGTGAGTTGGTCGCGTGCACTGAGGAAACGGTTGCGGGGGTGGCGCGGGGGTGGCGCGGCCCTGTGTGTGAGCAGGGTTGCAGTGACTGAGGAATTTGTGGTGCTGACGGGGCACCGGGTGCCCTGCTGCTTCCTCCGTCCTCCTGCTTCAGGGCCGCACAGTCCGGCGGCCCGGAATGTCTCCGAGCTGCATGCATGAACCCCACGGCGAGGGCCCCCAAACAAAAAGACGCAGTCCTGAGAGCAGCAGCTGCAGATCTCAAAACCACAGCTTCACCGGAGCGCCTCCCAAGGAAACTGCGGTGAACTCGGAGACGGATTCCAGCTCGGCCTTCTGTGTTCTGGCCTTTCTCTCTAATACCGGGAAGGATCAGATTTACCCCGTTCTGCCTCTTTTTTCCGTCTGGTTATGTGTGTGGTAGATGGTGGGAGCAAGAGTGGTATCGGGGGTGTGGTATCTGAGTCAGCCAGGCCGAGCTCCGAGAAAGGCCCGGTGTGTCAAGATCTTTTTCCACAATCCTTCTGAGCTTTAGGAGGAAATGGTTGCTATTGCATATATAAAAGTCAACGTCAAGATGAGTCTGTGTTTCCTCTTTGTTCCTTGAAATGTAATTTTTGTTGTTCGGGGCTTGAGGACATTTGTTTCCTTCTGTGAAAGAGAGAAAATCGGCTCGGACTGAAAAGAGAAGCAGCCCTGTAATTAATCAGGCCGGGAGGGAAAAGACAGGTAAAGCCAGCTGCAAAACTAATGGAAAATATTCTCTCCGGGTTATGCAGCAGTTGTAAAATGCCATAACGACTTCCTCTCTGAGAGATTACAGCTTTCTTACCAATGATGCTGCAGACTCGCTTTGCTATTTTCACTTTATTACTGGGGATACCCAATTTCCAAGCCATCCTCGTGATAACTGACACTCATGATAGCACTCAATCTGCAATTAATCCCTGCCTCTCCTAATCTCACCTCAGAAACAGCAGCCAGTTCAGATCCCCGCTGCCCTTAGATAGTCCTCAAAATCTTTCAGCGGGAACTCAGCGCTTTACAAAAGAGCTTTTCTCCTTCTCCATTGCATTCCGACAACTGTTCCTGTGGAATTTCCTCCTTCTCTGCGAGTCAATAAATATGATTTTGTTGGATTATACAGGCTTGTTCCAGTTAGTCTTTACCTGGTTAGGCTTTAACACCTGAAATGTCCTGTCTATTGACCTGGCGTTTAGCCTTCCTTGCCAGTGAATAATGGGGTGATGAGAATAGAATTCACCCCCAACCCCCTCCAGTGGTATTCACATGAACATTTGGCTCATTTAATTTCTCCAGTGAGCTGCCTCTTTCTAATCAGTGGATTGCAAATCATTGATCCGCAAGTAAACCTCCTGAAGAGAGGCTAACTGTAGAGGTTTTTTTCGGTCCGTGGTTTGTTGAGGAGATTCCAGTTTAGCTGAAATCACACCCTATGTGTCTTTGATCACTACCCTAAGTTCAGAAGCAGGAAAAATTAGGAGATGGTATGATTGGTGACATATTTATTCTTTTGAGGCTACTAAGAAGTGGTAATGTGATACGGTTTTTAATGGGGAGGTCTGTGTTAACAAGGCAAGAGATTATCAGAAGGGAAGACAGTAGTAATTTGAGAAGTGGTTTGAGTTTGTTTCAGGCCATATAGTTACATGATCGACTAGAGGCAGTTTAATATAGCGATAATAGTATGGGTAAAATTATCAGGGTCCTAACCCTAAACCTGCCATTTAGAGCTGGATGAGCTTGGGGCAGTTGGTTTCATCTCTTTGTGCCACAGTTCCATCATCTGTAAAATGAGGATAATGATAGAACCTACTGTATAGGATTGCTCTGAGTAGACGAATTAATGTGTGAAAAACCCTTAGATAATGCTTGGCACATAATAAGTGCTCAGTAGATTTGATTGTTATTATAATGTTGTAATTCCATGTTTTTCCTCATTACCCAGATCCAAAAGTTAGGAGTACTTTGCCACATATTTGCCACGTTTGCTTTATCCATCCACATACCCTACTTTTGTAAATTGTTGATAATCAAGAAGAGTTGCCTATCAAAGAGATGCTTTGAAATTATTAGTTAGCATTATAAGAAAAAGCAGGGCTGAGAAATCTATTTTTTATGGGAGAAGAGGATTATCTTTAATAGTTAAGGGAAGAAGTCTAACAGCAAAGCCTATGTTAGTAATTATAACAGTAAAGTAAGTCTCGTCATTATGTATACTTAAAAAAATCCTTCCTCCCTTACTCAGTAATCCGTCATAATGAAAGGAAGAGATATCATTCTGATGACAGCAAGCACTATCAAGATTATACTGAAGCTATGAGGCCTGTGTGGAGGTAAAAGGATTTCATACACTAAGATTTATGCCTTACAGTTTATTTTAATGATGCTATATGCAAAGTGAGATTAGTAGGACAAGAACATCCAACAGCCATTGGAGGGGCAAATTAAATCATTGAGTCGGTTCATGAATGGGAAACTGAAATAAAAGAAAAGCCCCTCAAGAAAAATGTCATCTGTTTTTACAATATCCTGAGCTTTTTTTCTCAGTTAAAGGGAAGACTGAAAAGAAAACTTGAACTGGGAAAGTCTTTTCCTTATTTGGAGTATTTGGGTACTTTATGCTCACACTCTGTTTAATATGGTTATGAGTGTCATTGGCTGTCACAATGAACATTTTAACTGGTTCTTCTAGGCATAGATGTGATTTTTTTCCCCCTGCCAAAATAGTTTTACACTACACATGCTGGTGTTTTTGTTTCTTTTTTTAAAAACACTGGCTTCACCCCTGTTAAAATTAGGGCAACATCATCGCTTTTAATAGTTTCATGATTTTCAGTAGTATGGATGTATAATAGTTTATTTTTTTAAAAGAAAATGTAATTTTATTAATAGTTTTTACATTCTAGGATGTTGCAGAGCAGTTGGGAGGGAGGGGGAGAGGAGAAGGAAATGGGATGGAAGAAGGAGGAAGGAGGAGGGGCAGGATTGAGGCCTGTGGCACCCCCCTTATTCCCACAGGGGAGACTGGGGGGCTTCCAGTGGTGGTTTGGTCATTGCCAGGCTGGGTGCAGGTGTCAGGGGGGTGTGGTAAAAGGCCTTGCCCCCCACCATCCCAGCTTAGGAACCTGGAGCCCTTCTTGCTATGGCTTGGTGGTCGTCACTGGGCTGGTTGCACATATCAGGGGGTCGTGCCCAAGGCCCTCAGCCCCCCACTGCCACAGCTTGGGAGATCCCAGAGTGCTTCCTGTGATGGCTCGGTGGTCACCGCTAGGCTAGCTGCGGGTGTTGGGGGGCATGGTCAAGGCCCTTGGCCCCCCACTGCCCTGGTTTGGGAGAGCCTGGGTTGCTTCCTGTGGCGGCTTGTTGATTGCTGCTGGGCTGGCTGTGGGTGTCTGGGGGCATGGCTGAGACCCTTGGTCCCCCACTCCCCCGGCTCAGGAGGCCCAGGGCATTTCCTATGGCAGCTCAGTGGTCATTACTGGGCTGGCTGCAAGTGTCAGGGGTGTGTGGCTGAGGCCTGAGGTCCCCCACTGCCCGGGGTTGGGAGAGCCCAGGGTGCATCCTGTGGCGGCTCGGTGGTGGGCGTATAGTAGTTTAATAAGTCATTCCCCCACTAAGGTTCTTTTCAGCTTTTATCCATTATGAAACATACTTGTCAGTACACCTTTAAATATATCTTTATGTACTTGTACAAATAATTCCTTTAGTTACAGAAGTGGAGTTTCTGATTCATAGAATTTGAATTCTTCTTACATAGTTCTAAATGTGTACCAGTGTAGTATCCATTCCCCATAACCTTGTTAATATGGAGCATCATCAGTCTTTTAATCTTCCAATCCAGTCACTATAAAAAGATACTTCTTAAAAATTATTTTAACATATCTCCTTAAGTAATACTGAGATTTAGTATTTTCTAAATTGACAGAAATTTGTATGTATTTATTGTGTACATCATGATGTTTTGAAGTCATTGTGGAATGACTAAACCTAGCTAATTAGCATGCATTTCCTCACATAGTTATCATTTTTGTGGTGAGAACACTTTACATACACTCTCTTAGCATTTTTCAGGAATATAGTATATTATTACCATGTTGTACAATAGATCTCTCGAACTTATTCCTCCTATCTAACTGAAATTTTGTATTTTTGGACCAGCTCCTTCTCCCACAAACTACCCCAGCCTCTGGTAACCACCATTCTACTCTCAATCCCTATGAGATCAACTTTTTCAAAATCTACATATGAGTGAGATCATGCAGTATTTATCCTTCTGTGCCTGGCTTATTTTACTTAATATAATCTCCTCCAGGTTCATTGATGTTGTTGCAAATGATGAGATTCCTTCTTTATTATGGCTGAATAGTATTCCATTGTGTATATGTACCACATTTTCATTATCCATTCATCCATTGATGGACACTTAGGTTGAATCCATGTCTATGGCTGTTGTGAATAATGCTACAGTAAACATGGAAGTACAGATATCTCTTCAACATCCTGATTTCATTTCCTTTGGATATATAGCCAGTAGTGGGATTGTTGGATCATAAGGTAGTTGTATTTTTAATTTTTTGAGGAACCTCCATATTGTTTTCTATGATGGCTCTACTAATTTACATTCTCACCAGCAGTGCATGAAGGTTCTTTTCTCCACATCCTCACTAACTCTTGTTATCTTTTGTCTTTTTGATAATAGGCTTTCTAACAGATGTGAGGTGATATCTCATTGTGATTTTAGTTTGCATTTCCCTGATAATTAGTGATGTTGAGCACTTTTTCATATACTTGTTGGCTATTTGTATGTCTTTTGAGAAATGTTTGTTCATGTCTTTTGCCTATTTTTTAATTGAGTTATTTGTTTTCTTGCTATAGAGTTGTTTGAGTTTCTTATATATTTTGCATATTAGCTTCTTATCAGATGTATAGTTTGCATAAATTTCCACACATTCTGTAGGTTGTCTCTTCACTCTGTTGATTGTTTCCTGTGCAGAAGCTTTTCAGTTTGATATAATTCCATTTGTTTATTTTTGCTTTTGTTGCCTGTGCTTTTGGGATCATATCCAAAAAATCTCTGCTCACACCAATGTCATGGAGTTTTCTCCTTGTTTTCGTCTAGTAGGTTTATAGTTTGGGGTCTTATGCTTAAGTCTTTAGTACATTTTGAGTTGATTTTTGGTATCATGTGAGATGAGTCTAATTCATTCTTCTGCATGTGGATATTCAGTTTTCTCAGTGCCATTTATTGAAGAGTCTGTTTTTTCCCATTGTGTGTTCTTGGCACATTTGTTGAAAATCAGGTGGCTGTAAATGCATGAATTTATTTCTGGGGTGTCTGTTCTATTTCATTAGTCTGTGTGTCTGTTTTTATGCCAGTGCCATGCTGTTTTGATTACTATAGCTTTGTAGTATATTTAGATATATATCGTATAAAGATATACTGTAGCTTTTTGGTACATTTTGATGTATTACATTTATTGACTTATGTATGTTGAACTGTGTTTGCATCCCTGGGATGAATCCCACTTGATCATGATGAATGATCACCAATTCAGTGACATATACAATTATGTCAATAGCACATTTTATCATTTTATTAGAGTAGGCAAATCACTTGATCTTCAGATATGCTATAGGATAGAATTGGGTCACAGTAAGTACTTCAACTTCGTTAAATCTCAAGAAAAACATGAAAATCTGTAAAAGCCTATAAAAGCCAGATTGAACCAATGCAATTACATTTTACAAGTCCAGATGATTCCCCAACAATAATCTTACTTTTCTATTTGGATATCAAACATAGGCTCTGTCAAGCCCTTAGTATACTTCTGAACTGACTTTTCTTTTTTTTTTTTTTCCTTTCTGTCTTTTTTCGTGACCGGCAACGGATCGCAACCCTCAGTGTCGCGCCCGTACCGGACCGGGACCAGCAACGGGATCGCAACCCTTGGTGCTGCGCCCGCCCCTTGCTCAGCCAGTGAGCGGGAACCGGTCTGTATGTGGGATCCGAACCCTCAGCGGGAGCGCCGCCGTGCTCCCAAGCGGTGCACTGTAGCAGTGCGCCACCGGGCCGGCCCTGATGAATGATCTTTTTAATGTCCTGTTGAATTCAGTTTGCTAGTATTTTGTTGGGGGTTTGTTACATCTTTGTTCATCAGGGATATTGGCTTGTGGTTTTCTTTTTTCCTTTCTCTGTCCTTCCTTCTTTCCTTCCTTCCTTCCCTCCCTCCCTCTCTCCCTCCCTCTCCTGCTGTCTTTTGGTTTTCATTTACATGGAATATCTTTTTTCATTCCTTCCCTTTCAGTCAATGTGTGTTTGTATATGTGAAATGAGTCTTCTGTAGATAAAATATAGTTGGGGCTTGTTTGTTTATCCATTCAGCTACACTATGTCTTTTGATTGGAGAATGAAATCTACTTACGCTCAAGGTAATTATTGATAAGTACTGCCATTTTCTTAATTGTTTTCTAGTTGTTTTGTAGATCCATTGTTTTTTCTTCCCCTCTTGCTATCTTCCTTTGTGAATAAGTGATTTTCTACAGTGGTGGTGGTCTTGATTCCTTACTTTTTATTTTTTATGTATCTGTTAATAGGTTTTATTTTACCATGAGGCTTACGAAAAACATCTTGTAGTTATAACAGATTATTTTAAGCTGATAACAACTTAACTTTGATCACAAAAAAACTCCACACTTTTACTCTACTCTCTTCCACTACACATTTTGAATTTTTATGTCACAGTTTGTATCTTCTTATATTGTATATCCTTTAACAAATTATTGTAGCTGTTACTGTTTTTAATAGTTTTGCCTTTCAACTTTTATACTAAAGATCTAAGTGATTTACACACTACCATTAAAGTTTTAGAGTATTCTGAATTTGTGTACTTATTTTCACCAATATAAACTCACTTTCAGATGTTTTGGTGTTACTCATTAATGTCCTTTTCTTTCAGCTTGAAGAAATCCCTTTAGCCTTTCTTTTAAGGCAGGTCTGGTAGTGATGAACTCCCTCAGCTTTTGTTTGTCTGGGAAAGTCTTTATCTCTCCTTCATTTCTCAAGGACAGCTTTGTTGGGTAGAGTATTTTTGGTTGGCAGGTTTTTCCTTCAGCACTTTGAATATATCATCCCACTCTCTCCTGGCCTGTAGGTTTTTGCTGAGAAGTCTGCTGCTAATTGTGTTGGAACTCCCTCATATCTTATTTGCTTCTATTCTCTTGTTGTTTTCAGGATCCTCTCATTGTCTTTGATTTTTGACAGTTTGGTTATAATATATCTTGGGGTAGTCTTGTTTGGATTGAACTTGATTAGTGACCATTGACCTTCCTGTACCTGGATATTTTCATCTTTCTTCAGGTTTGGAAAGTTTTCTGCTACTATTCCCTTAAATAAGCTTTCTGCCCCTTTATCTTTCTGCTCTCTTTGAGTCCTGTAACTCAGATATTTGCTCTTTTGTTGCTTTCCCATTAATCCTGAAAGCTTTCTTTATTCCTTTTATTCTTTTTCATTCTTTTATCTTTTTTTCCCCTCTGATTCTATATTTTCAAATTACTGTCTCAAGTTCACAAATTCTCTCTTTTTTCATCAGTTTTGCTGGTAGTGCTTTCTACTGCATTTTTTATTTCCTTCATTGTATTTTTCAGTTCTGAGATTTCTGTTTGATTTTTTTACTTATTATTTCAATCTCTATTAAATTTCTCATTGTGGTCATTTATTGTTTTCCCCATTTCTTTCACTTGTTTCTCTGGTATTTTCTTGTATTTTCCTGAGCTTTGTAAAAACAGTTATTCTGAATTCTTTTTCAGGAAGTTAATATATCTCCATTTCTTCAGGGTCAGTGTCTGCCACTTAATTTTGTCCCACTGGTGATGTCATATTTCCCTGATTATTCTTAATCCTTGTGGTCATGCATTGATGTCTATGTATTTTTTTTTTTTAAGATGACTGGTAAGGGGATCTTAATGCTTGGCTTTGTGTTGTGAGCACCACGCTCAGCCAGTGAGCAAACCAGCCATCCCTATATGGGATCCGAACCCATGGCCTTGGTGTTATCAGCACCACACTCTCCTGAGTGAGCCACGGGCTGGCCCTAGATGTCTATGTATTTAAAGAAGTAGGTATTTATTCCATTCTGCACAGACTGGCTTTGTCTGAGAAAGCCCTTCAACAGCCAGCTCATCCAGACATTCTGGGATAGGCTGTCTGGCATGGTCCTTGAGCCTGGGGCCACAGTGATTGTAGCAGTGCTGGGGTGCACCAGAAGCCTGGAGCCACTGTGGCCAGTGTGGTGCTCAGGTGTGTCCAAAGCCTAGGACTGCTGTGGCCATCACAGTGCTGGGGTCCACCAGAAGCCCAGGGCCACTGTGGCTGGTGTAGCACTGTGGCACACCTGAAACCAGAAGGTGCTGAAGCCTGCCTGCTGCTGAGAGCTGTTTGGAACCTGGGGCTGCTGACATTGGCGTGGCAATGGTGCAGGGTAGAGATGGAGTTTGCCATGCAAGGCTGAATGTTCCCACATGGCATTGGGGCATGTCTGGAGACAGTCCACAGATATCAGCCCAGAGTCTGGGTTGTGGGGGTTTGCCCAGTGCTGAGTTTTACTGTGCTGGACCTGGCGTTAGGAACCAAGGCAAAGTTCTGTGCTCATTTCCCTCTCTTTCCCTCGAGTGGATGGTATTTCTTACCTTGCTGTGCTGCCTGGGATTGGTGCGGGGAATGTGGGTAATATAAAACAAATTGTTGTTTCTGCAGGAGGATGATCGCTAGAGAGAACTATTCTGCCATCTTCTGGGATTTTGTATTTTTTGGAATGTTATTGGTTATTTCTCTTTTTTAATGACTTGCCCAGGCCCAGGTTTCTCTTAGTGAATTATAGAAATCTTAGCCCTTGGAGGCAAAAACCAGAGTTGAAAGACAGCTGGCTTTTTAGTTAGGGAAATGTGGATTCAGAACAAACAACTGCCACTGACTGATTTGACCCCTGAGCATCAGTTTCCTGAGCTATTGGAAGGAGAGAAGAACTACATTGCAGAACAGTTCTGAGGGTCAGTTGACAGTGTATATAAAGTATCCATCACGTAAAAGTTCTCAATGAGTGTTGAGATCTCCAAACGCTGGGATCATGAATCCCCTTCTCTCCAGCATGGATATTTAAAAACAGGAAGTGGCAAAGGATGTCATGGTATGAGAGGTACTGATGGGGAACTGGAGTGGTGAGTTGTCCTCACTGGGGAAAGGCCAGTGCAGGCTTACAGTGTGGTTACAGGCAGGAACTGTGTGGTTTTTTAGTCTTTGTGTTTAAGAAATTCAGGCAGGATCCTGGGGGTTCATAGGAATCTCTATTTGGATGGTATGGCCCCTGCTGGGTCCTGAAAGAGGAGAGAGGAAGAGCTGCTCAGGATAAGTGTGAGTAATCTAATGTCAGGACAAATCCCCATTGCCAGATGGAGACTTGGTCAGAAATCCTCCTGCAGAAGTATCTGGGCTTCCACATTATTGCTTAGCTATGTTTCTACAGGGGCTTGAATTTCTTCAGACTCCCTGTACTCTCCTCCAGCTTATGTGCATATGGGATGGGTGTGGATGTATTAGTGGGAAGTAGTTTGGAAGCAGGAATGGAAGAGAAGAAAATGCTCAGATTAACATTAGTCATTTCAGGAGCTCTGAGGCACATCTGGTTTCATGTCTTCTTTTTCTTCTTCCAGCTCTGGCTTGTCTGGACTCTGCAATTTTCCAATAGAGGAATCTTGAAAAGGACTGACCATTTCTTGCAGTTCTAAAATCATGGCCCATGTAAGTTAATGTTTCTCTCTCCTTTTTGAAGTACTGTCAATTTCTAGATCGTGTATAAGATAGTCATTCCTTATCCTGAAACTCTCTATTTAGTACTGCTCCCTCCAAGGACCTGCTCCAATTCCTTTCACTCCTGTAAGGATTGGGGACAGTTAGCCCAGTGCTATATCTGTGTGTCCTTCCCTTCTTCCACTAATGTTGAGTATCACCTATCCATAAAATCTTCTGTCACGAGCTGTGAGAGAGCAAAAGTGAAATGCCTTGAGAAAAATGCAGGCTTTCTCAGCAAAATGTCCCCCTGTTAATATTTTCCAGTGAACACCTTGTGATTTTAATACTTACCTGTCTATATAGTGATTTTTGGTCTAGTTTTATGTAGGAAAGGTTTTTTGAATGTTTTATTGAGGTATGACATATGTACAGAAAAGTATACAAATCATAAGGTACAACTGAATGGATTTGGACAAATTGAGTATATTTATGTTACCAGGTCAAGAAAGGAATATTACTAGCACCTCAACTGCCCTCCTTTCTGGCACTCCCCACCCACCCAACCCAAATGTAACTACGATTCTGACTTCAAACACTGTAAGTTAATATTGCCTATTTTTAAGAACTTCCTTGGGGCCGGCCCGGTGGTGCACTGCTGCAGTGCGCCGCTTGGGAGCGTGGCGGCGCTCCCGCCGAGGGTTCGGATCCCACATACAGACCAGCCGCTCACTGGCTGAGAGAGGTGCGGGTGCAGCACCGAGGGTTGCGATCCCGTTGCTGGTCCTGGTCTGGTACGGGCGTGACACTGAGGGTTGCGATCCGTTGCTGGTCACAAAAAAAGACAAAAAGGAAAAAAAAAAAAAAGAACTTCCTTTAAGTGGAATCATATAGTTCAATACGGTATTTTTTTTTTTTTAACAAAAACAATGTCCAGGAAGAATCTCATTATATTCTAAATACAATTGCTAGACCATCAGAACCATCTGCAGATGTTTTGACATGTATGTAAGTATTATTAAAGGCGGTGTGTATATCCAGTGCTGCTGGAGAAGAAGGCCTCAGAGCCTCATACTGAGTGTGATCTCTTCCTGTCAGTATGTTCTTGTTGGAAATGCTTTTCCACAGTGTACTTCACGTGTAGCTCTTGGTTTTGTCTAGGATAAAATGAGTTCCTAAAGGGTGGAAAAGTATTGAAGAAAACTCTGGAGAAAGAAGCAAAGCAAAATTAGAAAAATGAATTTAGTAAAAGAGACATTGAAAATACTCAAGCCAAAGATGTTGTGTGTGCACTCACACGCTGTGTACTATAATCCTGTATTAGAAGAAAATGTTGTGAAACTAGTTGGAGGATTGCAATTGACATATAATGCATTTTAATGCTCTGATTTTAAATGATGGGAAAATAGACATGGTTAATAATGTAGTGTTAGGGGGTCTGGTTTTCAGAAGTGGATTACTGATGTTAAGTGGGAGGTCCCTGTTTTGAGCTTTCCTTGAAGATCTGTGGTTTGATGAAAAAGAGATTTGGTCCTATTTGACTGCTTATTATGAAAATTCTGAACTTCTTCACAAATCTGAGTTTTTCAAATACACAAGATGAAATTTAGCGTTGATTTACCTCAGTTTCCAAATGTGTTGCAATCTTATGCTATGGAAGGCTTTTAGGATTGGGTGGATTAGGTAGGGATGTAATGGTCTCAAATTCATGTGCTGCCCTGATATCTTTGTCAGTGCCCTAAAGGCCTAGCCATGAGTTCTCTCACCAGGTATGTCCCCTATCCAGTGGGAAAGGTTTCCTACCTGGCTAGTTCCTGGCTGGACCAGTTATACCCTTCCTGCTTCTAAACCTAAGGGGTTTCATCTCCTTTCCAGCCCATGGAATTATTCAAACAAGCCAATCACATCCTTCTGCAGGAACCAGGGAACACTTCACCCTCTTATTACTACAAAGCCTGCCTCCCTGTGCCCCTGCTAGTTCATTCTGTTCGTGAGTGCAATCCTTGTGTGGCCCTGCATGATGTGTGAGGTCTTTCCTCGGGAAGTGGGTATATGTGACTAATAAATTGCTCTCAGTCTCATCTGTTTAGTGTCAGCTATTTGGCTATCTCATACTTTTAACGGTGTGGGATCCTTCCCTCACAAATAGGGTGAATAGGAGGTAATCAGAACAGGATTACAAATAGATCAAGAATCATCTCTGATGATTTACACCTAGAGAAACAACATGTTCTTGAATAGCCCCAGAACTGTTCAAGAATGTATATTAGTCCACAGGACTATTTTCTGTTGCTTATAACAGAATACCTGAAACTTCATAAATTGTAAAGAAATAATATTTATTACTTACAGTTTCAGAGGCTGGGAAGTCCAAAGTGCAGAGAACTCATCTGGTGAAAGCCTTGTTCTTAGTGGTGACTCTACAGCTATGCAAGATGTCACATTGCGGAATGGCTGAATGAGAGCTAACTCCTCACTTGCTCTCCTTTTAAAGCCATCATAACCATACCCATTACCACCCATTAAACCATTAATGGATTAATCCATTGACTAGAGTACAGTCCTCACAATCTAATCACCTCTCAAAGGCTCCACATTTCAAATATCATAATTGGATTCCCCACTCTCTTAAGTTTGTTACAATAGGGATTAAGTTTCAGTGAGTTTGGGGGGACATTGAATCCACAGCAGATGAATATGACAAAGTCCATTGTGTAGTTTTATAGGATGTGCTGGTCTAGAACAGGGCTTCTCATCCTTAGAACTATTGACATTTTGAGTCAGAGAATCCTTTATTTTAGGGGACTGTCCTGTGCATTATGGGATGTCTCACAGTATCGCTGGACTCTACCCATTAGGTGCCTGGAACACAAACACCCCTTCCCCCCCAGTTTTGACATCTAAAATCATCTCCAGATATGGTCAGATGTCTTTTGGGGAACAAAGTCACTTCTTGTTGAAAACCACTGGGTTTTCTAGGGTTATATCTTCATGATTCAGAATCATGTAACAAGAAAAGATGTTCAGTGAGGGATGATAGATGGTAAAGAGTAAGAAGGTTGTTCAAATGCACAAATATTAGGTATTGTAGACATTGAGAATTGGGGAAGACTTTTGAGATTGTATTGAATTAAAACATCTAATTAAAAAAAATCTAATGTATTCAAAAGTGGACTGCTATGTAGCAAACTTTTAAAAGTTTACTAAAGAATTAGTTATAATAGGGAAAATGTTTGTAATAAAATCTGACTTTGGGATGAGCTTGAGTCTATTTTCTTAGAGATTTGGGGAGAAATTTGTGTCATTCTTTTTTCATGACCATTAAAGGGAAAAGAAAGTGGAAAACCTCATATTTCTTATGAATTTATCGTATAGGTACGTAGTATTCAGAAGGCTTGTGCACATTGCTTCACTTAATCGGGATTTTTTTTGCATATTTATTCATTTCCAGATATGTTTGGATAAAAATTTAATCTTATCCGTGGCCACAGGACTATTCAAGAACATGTAGACACTCTGCTTAAGAGATACTAGTTTTCCTTTTTTTTCTTTTAATTTTAATTTTTATTGAATCAAAATTGATTATACATACTTTTGGGTTTCAGTATTGAGATGTGTTGATCAAAGCAATATTGCTAGCATATATATTGTTATAAATTGTAATTATTCTTTATGTCCCTTATCTAATCCCTCCTCATTCCCCTTTCTCTCCCCCCTCACCAGTCACCCTAGATTTCTTCTCTCCTCTGAAAGAGTAATGGTTACTCTGTTGATTTGCTGCCCAAATGATTTGTCCAATGCTGAGAGGTGTGATCAGGTCCTCCAATACTATCATAGAGCAGATGTCTCTTCCGTCACTATGAAATGAGCTCTGTGGAGACAGACATCCTCTTCTTTACTATGGTCTCTGCTGGTGATTCTTCTTGTGTCAACTCACTCCAGTGACTGGCGGACCATCTGCACGGTGGTTGTGGCATCTAGCCACCTTTGCAGCAGCCATGGTTATCGTGGTAGCTATGGTGGGCCACCCACATGGAGGAGATGTTTTTGGCCTGCTCTGTGGTGCTGGCAGTATGCCTGGTTGTGGAGAGTGTCTGATCCCCAGTTCCATGCCCTGGGTCACCAAGTGGGTCCCAAGGCACTGGCACAGTGTACCTGGTTGTGGGAGGGGGATCCAGTTCCCTTCTCCATGCCTCGGGTCTGCAGGCAGACCTGAGGCACTGATGTGGTGTGCTTGGTGGTAGGAGGGAGATCTGGTCCCCTTCTCCATGCCCCAGGTCCCAGGGTGGGCCCTGAGGCACTGGTCCAGTGTGCCTGGTTGTGGGAGGGGGGGGGTCTGGTCCCCTTCTCCATGCCCTGGGTCCCCTGGCAGGCCCCGAAGTGTTGGCGTGCTGAGCCTGGTTGTGGGAGGTGGGTCCAGTCCCCTTCTCCATGCCCCAGGTCCCTGGGTGGGCCCCAAGGCACTGGCATTGTGTGCCTGGTTGTGGGAGGGGGTCCAGTCCCATTCTCTATGCCTCAGGTCCCTAGGGGGTCCCTGAGGCACTGGTGCTGTGTGCCTGGTTGTGGGAGTGGTGTCTGGTCCTCTTCTCCACGCCTTGGGTCCTTGGGTGGACCCCGAGGTACTGGTATGGTGTGCCTGGTTGTGGGAGGGAGGTCCAGTCCCCTTCTCCATGCCTTGGGCCCCCAGGTGTGGCCCTAAGGCACTGTCACAGCATGCCTGGTTGTGGGAAGAGGGTCCGGTCCCTGGCTCCTAGCCCTGGATTCAGGGGCAAGCCCCTCGGCATTGGTGGTGTGCCTGTATGTGGGAGTGGGGTCCGGTCTTTGGCTCTAATCCTCGGGTTCCCAGGTGGGGCCCTGAGGTGCTGGCGGTATGAGTGGTTGTCAGTGGGGGTTCTCCCCTACTTCCATGCCTCATGTTCCCTGGTGGACCCCAAGGCATTGCTGGTGTGCCTGGGCTGGAACTAAGTTTTTGTCCTTTGCTTGCTTCTAAAACAGGGGAACTTCCTGTGGGCACCAGTACTTGATCTGTGTGGTTGAGATAAATTGCTGCTTTGCTGCTGTTTCCCTAGGGAAGACTTTTTGTGTAGCTCAGGGTTTAATGGCTGATCTTATAGGTACTTCCTGCTCTCCAGAGACCCAGTGGGTCTGTCTGTAGAATCTCTGATCTGGGCCTGAATCTTTTAATCAAACTGCACCCCATGCAGTTCTGCATTCCTGACCAGTCTCCTCTGAGTGGTCCTGCGCTGATTGGGGGTCAAATTGGCTGTCCTTGCTGTGTCCCAGTTTTCTCCCGGTGGGCCCGTCTCCCCCACTACCTGTGCTCCAGACACGTCCCATGGGACAGGCCCTGCGCTGGTCCTTTGTGATGACTCACTGGCCTCTGAATGGCTCCCCTTTTTTCAGCTATTCTGGCTCCTCGCTCCTTCGTGGGTCCACGGGAACACTGTTAGTGGTCTTGCTGTCCTGGGGGCCACCAAAGTCCTCTTCTCCCCTGCTGCCTCGAAGTAACTCCATCTAAAGGGCACAGCCGTGGCTTCTGCCGGCTCCTGCTCCATGTGCTCAGCATTAAAGCAGCCGCGGCCTGAAACGCTGAGAGCAGCTTTTTCTTTCTCTCTTCATGATTTCTCCCAACCTCATGAGTTCCATAGGTCTCTCCTCCTCTTCACCTGAGCTCCAGCAGCCCCAGCTTGGCTGATGTTACATTTTTATAGTTGTAAATTGGTTGATTTGTGGGAGAGAGTGAGGCTGGGGACCGTCTACTCCGCCATCTTGACCAGAAAACCCAGAGATACTAGTTTTCTTACTGTCCCCTACTCATGTCATAAATTTTCAGCCCTACACTATTTGCATGCTATGTGGCCCCCTCTCTGCAAGGCAATCCTCAATCTCCTCTTATTCCACTTAAAAAAATTTAATTATTTTCACAATAATACATGGGTTTATTTTTTCAGGGTTCAGTGACATTCAGGGATGTGGCCATAGACTTCTCACAGGAAGAATGGGAATGCCTGGGCCCTGCTCAGAGGGACTTATACAGAGACGTGATGTGGGAGAACTATAGCAACTTTATCTCACTAGGTAAGGTTATTTATCCCAAACGATACTAGCTTTCTCTACTGTCAGTTTCAGGACTATATTGTGAGAAACTAGCTGAATTTTCACTCTGTGTTCCCAAAGGAATAGTTTAAGCTTTGTTAGGTTGAAAATAGGCCTATCTATTTAACACCTAATCATTTCCAGCCTGCTGTATCCTTCCAACTTTCTTCAAACTCTGTAATTCTTGGTTTCCTTAGTATCCAAGGAACTGGATTTCAATGTTAGAAGCATTGTCCATGAAACCAGATCTTAAATTGTATTTGAACTTGGATTGACGTAGATGGTTCATACACATTTCTAATCCACCTGCAAAGAGAATATCTAAACACAGGGGTTCTGAGTTTCTCTAAAAATCGAAAGATCCTGTAGAACATATATAGTGTAGAATGGATCCATAAAGTTCATTTAAAACAAGTAAACACATTCTGTTTTCTATAAAAGACATATTCAGTTCTACCTGCTTTGTGGTTGAAAGTTAAAACCTAAGAACTTTGCGTTTAACATCGAATCAATATGTTAGAAAGGATCCAAGAATGTCTCAGAAAGCCTCTTATTATCCTCTCAGCAAAACGGTAATAGTAAAAATTAATAATTAATACACACATATTATGTACATATAAACATATCACTGTACATATTTGTGCTTAGACACTATTCTGAGCATTGTACGTTATTAATTCTTACCACAACTCTGTGAGAAAGGTGATGGGGAAAACTTAGGCACAGGAGGTTAATAATGTGCTGAGGTAATACAGCAACAGAGGTAGGATTTGAAGCCAGGACCCACAGTCTGTGTTCTCAACCACTGCACAGTACTGTCTCTCCACAGAGCCTGTGTGAGTTTAAGTTGTGTTAAGGCTGTTCTTAACCACCCGGTGGCAATTCCTTGTGGTCCTGGGTTACCCTAATACGAGTGTTCATCAACTCCCTTGTATTCCTTTGCTCTTAGGCTTTATCAGTACCACTTTGATCTGCAATTAATTATTAATTTCTGAATCTAAGGATGTTTGGGTTTATAACTTCATATCAAACTTTTCTTTTGAGCAGGATCTTTCATTTCTAAACCAGATGTGATTGCCTTACTGGATGAAGAAGGGAAGGAACCCAAGATGGGTGTGAGGGAAGGGACAAGAAGATACTGCCCTGGTAAGTGAGGGCTGAGCAGGCATTGGGAAATCTTACTGCAGGAAACAGCTAAGCTGGTTAGGTTGAGGGCACATCCTTGAGATGTTATCGGGGACCTCTCTTTGAAAGCCCATGGCCTGTGGAGGAAAGCTTGAGATCTGAAGCAAATTAAAATCTTTTAAGCCTGGACTAGCAAAGGAATTTTCTTTTAACCTTGATTGCAACACTATTTTTCTCATCCTCTCATATTTCTCTCCCACTTCAAAGAAAGGAACTTTTCTCAGTGGAAGGAAAAAAATGGTAATAAATGTGAGAGCAGAAATCAACAAAATAGAAAAAAGAAGAGAAAATTAATAATGCCAAGAAATGATTTCTTGAATAGATCAACAAGGATGGTAAACACCTAGCTTGACTAATCAAAAAAATAAGAGAGAGCACGTAAATTACTAATACTGTATCAGGAATGAAAGCGAAATTTTCACTTCACATCCCACAGGCATTAAAAGAATAGTAAGAGAATGCCAGGAGTAACGTAATGTCAGTAAATTTAACAACTTGAATGAAATGAAAAATTCCTTGAGAAATACAACTTACCAGACCTGGCACAAGATAAAAAGAAAATGAATAATGTTATGTCTATTAAAGTAATTCATTATAAAGAATCTTTTCACAAAGAAAATGCCAGGCCCAGATGGTTTCACTGGTGAATTCAGTTAAATGTTTAAGGAAGAAATAACAGTACTATTGAACATATTCCTTCCAAAAATAACGGAGCTCCTCTCAACTCATTTTATGAGGCCAGCATAACTCTTATACCAAAATGTGACAAGGAACTTACCAAAAAAAAAAAAAAAAAATTACAAACCCATATCCTTTACATAAATAGGTGTAAAATTCTTAACAAAATATTAGCAAATCAAATCCAGCAATATATAAAAAGGATGATCAAGTAGGATTTATCCCTACCTTATCAATGCAAACTTGGTTTAACATTCAGGAGTTGTTTTAGTCCATTTTGTTTTTTCTATAACAGAAATACCTGAGACTGGGTAATTTATAAAGCAGAGAGGTTTATTTGGCTTACGATTCTGGGACAGCTGCATCTGGGACGGGCCTCAGGCTGCTTCTACTCATGGCGCAAAGTGGCAGGCAGCTGGCAGGTACAAGCAGATCACAGGGCGAGGGGAAGCAAGAGACAGAGAGGAGGTGCCAGGGTCCTATAAACAGTAAGCTCTCACGGGAACTAATAGAGCGAGAACTCATTCATTACTCCCCCCCACATGAGAGCATTAATCCATTCATAAGGGATCTGCCCCCATGACTCAATCAGTTTCCAACACTGCCACATTGGGAACAAATTTCCACATGAGTTTTGGAGGGGACAACACATCCAGACTCCATCAGGAGTTAATCAGTGTAATTCACCATATTAATAGAAAACATGAGAGAGACCATGTGATAATCTCCATAGATGTAAAAAATAGCAAATGACAAAGTTCAACATCCATTCATGATAAAAACTCTTAGCAAAGTGGAAATTGCAGGGAATTTCTTCAACCTGATAATGGGCTCCTGCTAAGAAAAATACTACATTATAAACTTCATGATCTTGATTGAAGAATTACCCCCTAAGATTGGGAAGAAGTCAAGGATGCCTACTTCTCCCATTTATTTAACATTGTGTTGGAGGTCTGAGCTAACGCAATAAGGAAAAGAAATGAGACGTAAAGATCAAAAAGGGAGAAGTAGAAGTCTGTGTTTGGAGATGGCATGATTATGTACATAGACAATCATAAGGAATCCAAATAACTATTCAAAGTAATAAGTAAAGATCACAGTAAGATCACAATATACAAGGTGAATATAAAAAAGTCAATCGTATTTTTATATACTAGGAGCTAAGAAAATTGGAATATTAAATAACTCAATTTATAATAGTGTCAAAAACATAAACCACTAAGGAATAAATTTGATAAAATATGTGCAAGACCTCTACACTGAAAACTGTGGAATATTGCTAAGAGATATTAAAGAAGACATAAATAAATGAAGACATAAATATGCCTTCCTATCCATTTTCAGGATAGGAAGGCTCAGTATTGTGAAAATGTCAATTTTATAGATTCAGTACAATTCCAATCATAATCCTAGCAGGCTTTGTGTGTGTGTGGGGGGGGGGGGGGTAGAAATTAACAAGCTGATTCTAAAATTTATATGGAAAAGCAAAAGACTTAACATGTCTAAAGCAGTTGTAAATAGAGAACATATTATAGGACTTAGATGAAATGACTTCAAGATATTTCAAGATTTACTATAAAACTACAGTAATCAAGACAGTGTGCTATTGGTATAAGGATGAACAAACACAAGAGACCTAGACATAGACCCCCCCCACACACACACACTTAAAGCATTATTTATTTTTTGACAAAGGCACCAAAGCATTCCACTGGAAAAAGGAAAGTCTTTTCAACAAATGGTGCTAGAATAACTGGGGGAAAAAAAACCAACATAAACCTCTTGAACTTTTTCTCATGAAAAATTAATTTGAGGTGAGTTTTAGATCTAAATATGAAAGCTAAAATCAAAATGCTTTTGGCCGGCCCGGTGGCACACTGCTACAGTGCGCCGCTTGGGAGCGCGGCGGCGCTCCCGCCGAGGGTTTGGATCCCACATACAGACCAGCCGCTCACTGGCTGAGTGAGGTGCGGGTGCAACACTGAGGGTTGCGATCCCGTTGCCGGTCCCGGTCCGGTACGGGCGCGACACTAAGGGTTGCGATCCGTTGCCGGTCACTAAAAAAGACCAAAAGGAAAAAAAAAATCAAAATGCTTTTTTTTTTTTTTTTTTTTTTTTTTAAAGATGACCAGTAAGGGGATCTCAACCCTTGGCTTGGTGTTGTCAGCACCACGCTCAGCCAGTGAGCAAACCGGCCATCCCTATATAGGATCTGAACCCGTGGCCTTGGTGTTATCAGCACCGCACTCTACCGAGTGAGCCACGGGCCAGCCCCTCAAAATGCTTTTGAAGGAAAACATAGCACAGTGACTTAGGAGTTCTAATTTATGACTTAAGATTAGGCAAAATTTTCTTAGGTGAGAGCAGTAGCCATAAAAATTAAAAATCTACAAATCAGATTTTATCCAAATTAAGAACTTAGTTTCATCAGAATATACCGATAAGAAAATGAATAGTTAAGTCACAGACTGGGAAAAAATAGAAGTAGAACATATCTGACAAAGGACTAGTGTCTAGTGCATGTGTGTGTCTGTGTGTATATATTTCTCCATTACCATGGAATAATACTCAGCAACAAAAAAGAATAAGCTCTTCATACATGCAACAACAACTTGGGTGAACCTCAAGGAAATTATGCTGAGTGAAAAAACCAATCACAAAAGATTACATACTGCATGACTCCATTTGTGAAATCATGTAATTATAGAGATGGAAAACGGGTTAGTGGTTGCTAGGGATGAGGAATGGGGGATGGTTAGAGCTATGAAGGGGTAACACTAGGGAGTCTTGTGGTTATGGTACAGTTGAGTATCTTGATTGCAGTCTTGATTATGCAAGGCTGTGTGTGACAAGATTGCTACAGCTGTACACATACACACATACATGAGTGCGTGCATAACTGGTGAAATGTAAATAAGCTTTATGGGTTATACCAACTTTAATTTCGTGGTTTGAATATTGTACTCCAGTTGTATAAGATGTTAACATTGGGAGAGGCTGTGTGAAGGATGCATGGGACTTGCCTAAACATTTCTGTGAACCTCCTATGAATCTATAATTATTTCAAAATAAAAAGTAAAAAAAAAGGGTGTTGTTGAGGGGGGTGGGTAAAAGATTTGACAAAGAGAGGGGCTATTTTTTTTTTTTTTTTTTTGGCAGTTGGCCAGTACAGGGATCTAACCCTGACCTTGGTGTTAGACATTTTTATATTGTCCCATGTATCTTATATGTTTTTTTTCTGTTTTTTTCTTATTATTCTTTTTTATTCCTATGCTTCAAACTTAATATCTTCTTCAAATCCATGTCCCAGTTCACTAATCTTCTCTCCTGCTAAAGGTAATCTGTCATTAAAGCTATCTGTTAAATTCTTAAGTTTTGTTATATTTTTTAGTTATAATATTTTATTTGAATACTTAATGGATCCACTTCTTTGGTTAAGTTTTCCATATTATTGGTTTTCTTGAAATTTTAGTCTATATTATTAATGTTTATTCTTAATATTAACATTAATTGATTAATATTAATCAAAATTAATTCATTTCCAATTTCATTCAGAAGAGCTGGGACTGTTTCTATTGTCTGTTTTACCTTTTAGTTTTTAGTCATTTTTTTTCTCCTGTCTAGTTATGCCTTATAATTTATATTGAAATGCTAGATGTCAGAGGCCCTAAATGATACTCTTTCTGAATGAAATGTTGTCTTTTTCCAGAGACAATTTAATTTGCCTCTAGCAGGCAGATAGAGTATGGGCTAATCACCTGTTTGTTCTTAGTCCCCTGTCCACATACCAGTCTTTGGTTTCAACTAAAGTCTGGAATGATTATCAAGACCCTTCCTCTTTGGGGAGGATTTGAACTCCAATTTCTGTTTCTCTAGCACTATAAGATTGCCAAAATCTCTACTAAGATCTGTGGCCTTTTAGCAGTTGCTTTCTGCTTAATTTCTTGGCCTCTTTCCATGGTAGATGCTTAAGAGTCAGCAAATACTTGAGGGGAAATTCTTTGCGAAATGTTGGCTTAATTCAACATGTGTGCTTTCTCTCCAGGACCTTGGCTGTCTAGCCCTGGATGCTTTGGTTGTTCCTTCGTGTCATCAGGTTTTTTTGTTGTTTTTTTTTTAAAATAACCTTTTTAGTTGTTTTCAGTGGGTTAGTCTGATACCAGCTTCTTTGTCAGAGTCAGAAATAAGTCTTCATTCCAATCTTTTGTTATTTATAGTATTTCTACATTTTAGAGCAAATAACATGTATATTAGTTCTGTAACCCTAATCCTCATATTTGTGT